ATTTAAAAGAAATTTTTGGGTGTGAAAGAGTTTATTCTCTTTCTTTTCTTTTTACGAACATACAAAGAATAATCATCACGCGCACGAGAACTAACCAGAAAAAAGTGCCTATATAAATCAAGAAAGAAACGTTGTTTCATTACATTACATACTTATTCTTTTTACACAATCGTACTCATATCTATACATAAGCAACAAAATGGATGGTGCCGTTAGTCAACATTATAAAGAAGCAACAGACAATAAATTGACAAGTAAAGATAAAGAAATTCTTAGTGAAACAAAGTCACCAGCAAAAGATTCTGATTTACAAGCAGAAAAATTTGGTGGTGATACACCAAGTCAACAAGGTAGTGGAACAGCAACTACACTTGATAATGCTAGTGGACAAACAAATCCAAATATTATCTATTAAATACAGAATTTTTATGTACATTTTTATTTTATTTTTTTCTATGTAAAATAAAAAAATCAGTTCCATTTAAATAACATCTGACTATTAGCATCATGAGTATCAAATTTTGTATTTGAATTTTGTTTTGTTGTAAAAATCAAAACATTATATCGATCTTGTTTAATTTCAGCAGAATATTGTCCATCATCAATAGAGAAACCAAATTTTTCATTTTGACCAATAATAATATGAAAATTTTCATTAGGATAATGTTTAGCAAGTTCTTCACATAAATATCGATGTACATCTCCATATTTACCCATGATATTAGGAAAAGTTTGACTTGTTTTAAAAGCTATATTTACAAGACGTTCACAATCATTACCAAATGTAATGTTACTTGCTGCAATAAGTACAGCACGATTATGTTTAGTTGGTGATCGATTTTGTTTTTGAGAAGATACAATTGATTTTTTTGAACGGTGTTCTTTTATACCTTCACGTATTGCTCCTGTGATAACTACAGCGACAGCTTCGAGTACAACTCGAGCAAAAATTTCAACAACAATTTCAGCCATATGTATATGTATGTGTATATAGATCAGGTAATGGATTTAATAAAGTTTGAATGATCACTACCAGTTATATATATATATATTGCTTGCTTGCTTTTTTGTTATCATTTGTTGTTTGAATGACACATATTCAGTCGATTTTCTTATCTTGTATGCGTCAAGTTAATATAATAGATAGAATAGGTGATGACTCATGTAACATATGAAACCATATTATAAAAATTTATACATGTGTTTATGAGTTGTTATTGAATGATTCATTTAGTAGAATATGACAATTGTCCTATTAGTAAGCATTTTTATTTTTGTGAGTAACTGAATAGAATTATATCAGTTCAATTCGAGGTGTGGGCGTGGGTGGGTGTTGTTCTTATCTAATCCTCACATCTATGCCCACACTCACATCCAGGCTCACACCCACATCCTCAAGATGATTATTTTCGATATTAATTGTTTTTTTGTTTTGTTGAAAAAAATCGTTTTTATTGCCGACGATTTACTTTCCGTTGATTGAAAATAAAATTTGTTTCAATTAACCAATTTCTTGTATGAGAACTTACTTTCCATTGATTATTTAGACCATATGAAATGAGCTACGAGTATAGTCTTAGCGACATACAGTCTATTCTCAGAACAAAAGTACAATAAATATATTAATAAATAAAACAAAACTCTAAAAAACTGAACAAACAGTGCAAATACAAAAAGAAATAGTTGTTTGAGAGCGTGGGTGGGTACATTATCTTTATATCACACCCACATAAATATATTAATTATTAAAGCAATGAACTCTGAGTTAACATAAAATTTCAAAATGTACACGATCAACTTGTTTTCTGTATTACTAATGTTTTCAAAATAGATAATTAGAAATACTATAATTCAATATTAAAAATCGAAAAGTCTTGTTGAATAATTTGAACTTTTTATTTACAGAATTGATTGATACTGGAATGCCTTCAATAGATTTGTCTCATCTATATGCAGAAAACATTCTTTCATTTACTTTAATGTGCCAATGTAGGTTCACACTTGAAGAAAGAAACCGAGAAATAAGATCGATATGAACAGGGGGGAAGATAAAAGAAAGGAATAATAAAATAAAACATGTTACAATATCGTTTAACGACCTCACATGTATAAATATAAATATATATATAACAGTATTTGTAGAAGAGGATGACAGAAGGTATAGTAGAGATAATGGATGAATGGAAACGTATGTCATTTATTCATGTATGATTCTTCATTTGTTGTTTGCAACTCAGTTACGTTTTTACAAGTATGTTTTATTTGTTGGCTTTCTTCGTCATGTCGTTTCTTTTCTTAAGTTTGTTAATGTAATATATATTCAGTATAAGTGTATAAATTTATACGTATAAGTATGTAAGACAACAGTAAAAAGTTTCGAAGAGTACACGATTATTTTTTATACTAGTTTTTCTCTGTTAGCTTACTTAGTGTAGTATTGAGGAATTTTCAATCAATCGATTTAGTAAGTGAAAACGAACTTATATAATCTATTTACAACTGATGTCGATAGTATACACTCATTCTTCAAAAATATTTGACTGTATAGTAGATATATGAACTTTCCAATGATTAAGGGCTATATATAGCATAAAATATAGAATTTACAGAAAATATAGATCTATTTCGACCCCATGTCAGTGACGTATATTTAACAAACATAAAAAACTAAGTAAAATACTGATAACGGAGAAAACAATGTAAATGATGATAAAAAAGACAATCTTGAAAAACTTTTGGTATACTATGTAACGACACATTATTCTCATTCACTTTATAGATATATCTTTTGAAGGACTCTACATTACAACAAACAATGGTGAACAATACATCAACAGCATCTGTTCAAACCAATACACCAGCTTATACTAAACACGTATCAAGCTTTTCCGAGGATGCACTTGCAAATCGACGTATTAACATGCAAAGAATGCAAAATGTCCTCCTTATTTGGTTAGACAACAACATTGATGATGATGATGCTGATTGTAATAATACAATCAAACAATTGAAACGTGTAGTTAACAACGTAAACACGTTTACAGATGATAAAAAATGTACTGAATTTATTCAAACCATTACTAACAACAAAGTATGCATGATTGTCTCCGGGTCACTTGGAAAATATATTATGCGTCATGTGCATGACATGTCCCAAGTGGATACCATTTTTATTTTTTGTAATAATCAAGAATGGCATAAACAATGGGCCAAAGAATGGCCTAAAATAAAAGGTGTCTTCACAGATATAACAGCAATCTGTGAAGCTCTCAAACAAACTGCTCAGCAATGTGAACAAAATGCCATATCAATCAGCTTTGTAGCATCAAACAAAAAGTTGGATCAATTAGATCCATCATTTATGTATACTCAGATCTTGAAAGAGATCTTATTATCCATCGATTTCGAAGATAAACATTTTGAAGAATTTATTACTTATTGTCACGATGTATATGATGATAATGAATACGAATTAGAAAATATTAATCAATTACAAGCAACATACAAAAGCAACATACCCATATGGTGGTATACATGGGATGCATTTTTATATCGTATGCTCAATCAAGCTTTAAGATCAATGGATGTTGATATGATTGTTCGATTAGGTTTCTTTATTAAAGATCTACATCGTGATATTCAACGACTCCATTCGAAACAATTTGATGCTGAACAATCTAATAAAGCATTTACAGTTTATCGTGGACAATGGCTTTCAAAAGAAACTTTTACCGAAATGATAAATACTAAAGGTGGACTGCTTTCATTTAATAACTTTTTATCGACTAGTAAAAATCGCAATGTTTCTCTTAACTTTATACAACAAGCTGCTACAAATCCTGATCTTGTTGGAATTCTATTTGTTATATCCATTAATCCTATTCATACAACAACTCCATTTGCTTCTGTTAGTGATGTTAGTTATTTTCATAAAGAAGATGAAGTTCTCTTCTCTATGCATACCATTTTTCGTATTGGAGATATTAAACCAATGGATGGAAATGATCATCTTTATCAAGTGAATTTAACATTGACTAATGACAACGATCAAGATCTTCGTGCTCTTACTGATCGTATCCGGCAAGAGACGTATCCAGATTGGACAGGATGGTACAGATTAGGTCAATTGCTAATTAAAATGGATCAGTCTAACAAGGCTCAAGAAGTTTATGAAGTTTTACTTCATCAAAGAACGGATGAAAGTGAAAAGGCACTTATTTATCATCAACTAGGTCGGATCAAATATAATCAAGGAGAATATCCAGAAGCACTTACATATTATGAAAAAGCACTTGCTATCTATCACAAAATGCTTCCTTCTAATCATTGTAATGTGGCTATCATCTATATGAACATCGGTAGTGTGTATTACAGCATGAGCGATTATCCAAAAGCACTTTCTTATTATGAAAAAGCCCTTGCAATCAAACAACAATCACTTCCTTCCGATCATCCTGATTTAGCCTTATCCTATGTGGGAATCGGTTTGGTGTATAACAGCATGAATGATTATCCAAAAGCACTTTCTTATTATGAAAAAGCCCTTGCAATTCAACAACAATCACTTCCTTCTAATCATCCTGATGTGGGTGCTTCCTATAACAACATCGGTATGGTGTATAGAAACATGGGTAATTATCCAAAGGCACTTTCATCTAATGAAAAAGCCTTTGCAATCAAACAACAATCACTTCCTTCCAATCACCCTGATTTGGGTGCTTCCTATAACAACATCGGTGCAGCGCATGAGAATATGGGTAACTATTCAAAAGCTCATTCATTTTATGAACGTGCTGTACAAATTGGACAACAATCATTATCATCAAATCATCCTAATCTTGAACTGTACAGAAAAAACCTCGAAAACATAAAAAAGAAATTATAATTTGCTTTTGTATTTTTAATGAAAATAAAATAAAACTGACGAAAAAGAAAATGTATCTATTGATACTCTGTTCTTATTGAGAACACAGTATGAGCAGTAATACTCACCAGCAAAGTAAACAATACATATTGAAAAGATATGTATTGTAGAAAAGATGTTCACGGTTACATTATTATGTCTGAACAATTAGAATTTCGTTGTGTTAGATAAGAAAGATATTCAACAGTAATATAGAAGAATAAAAAGAGAGAAAAAGTTTATTTTATCAATAAAATGAATTATTCTTTTTGTTCCAATATTAAACAATAGTTCATATCATTGATAAACTGATCCATATTGAATGAATAGAATACCTAGATATACAGGTGTATGACAGTAGTTGAAGAACGGAATCAATACTTTCATATATAAATAAATATACACAGCTCTATTCAAAAAAACTTGCACATCTTGTTATATACAATTATTTATTTGTTTCAGTAGAAGAAAACCGGTTTTATTCAAAGATATATTTGAATAAAATCATGCTTTGAAATACATACATCATGTTTAAGATACATTAATAATAAATGCGGAGCATTTTATGAAAACCTTAAAATCGATCTTCGTATGCCATCTAGTTTAAATACATATCTTCGTGCACATGATATCACTGATATCCAACGAATCTGTATTGAAGCATTTTCAGTTATTCTATATCACGATGCATACCTGTAAGTATTGCGCAAGACAGTTTTGTTCTTTCGAATATAATTTCATAACTTCAAATAAATTTCAATAGAAATACAACTTATAAATGTAAAGTAAATGCGGTCCGAAGGCTGATGGGTTATCCTTTCACGATGCCCTCCCATTAGTCACTCCCATGACCGTTTTTTTTGTCTTTCAAGATTGATTAGAAGAAAAAAAATTCAATATACAAAAAACTAAGTCAACCGTTCTTGTGCTAATGTTAATTTTTTATAAATTCCATTTAATTTTAATAATTCATCATGTGTACCCTATAATACTAAGTTTATTTTTGAAATTATAAAGAAAAAAGGCTTACTTCTTCTCTCATTTTTCCATGAGCAATAACAGCTATTTTTTGTGAATTTTGAATTGTTGATAGACGATGTGCAATTGTTAAACATGTTCTATTGGATATTGCTTGATCTAAAGCATGTTGTACAACTTGTTCACTTTTATTATCTAATGCTGAAGTTGCTTCATCGAGAAGAAGAATTTTTGGTGATCGAATTAATGCTCGAGCAATAGCAATACGTTGTTTTTCTCCACCTGACAGTTGATTACCTTTAGAACCACATAATGTATCAAAACCCTTTTAAGAATTCGTTAATATATATATTAAATAAAATCAGAATAAATCAACATACTTCTGGTAATGAAATAATTAATTCATAAATATTTGCCATTTTTGCAGCATTATCAATTTCATCTTGTGTAATTTGTCGACTATTATCACCATAAGCAATATTATCACGAATGGAAAGATTAAAAAGAATTGGTTCTTGTTGAACAAATCCAATTAATGATCTAAACCATTGAATATTAAGATCTTTTATATCATATCCATCAAGTAAAATTTTTCCTTTTAATGGATCATAGAATCTTTCTAATAATGCTATACTTGTTGATTTTCCACTTCCTGACGGTCCAACAAGTGCTGTTGTACTAAGAGATGAACAATTTAATGAAAATTTTCTAAGAATAGGAATTGTAGGTCGATTTGCATATCGAAAATGAACATTATGAAATTCAATATTACCAATAACATCATTCTAAAAATATATAAATATTATTCTTATTAAAGATTATTATTGGAAAATATTTTACTAAAATAATGCCTGATTCATCATGAGGATTTATTTTTGATTTTTGTTTATTAAGTTCTATTATTCGTAATGCTGATTGTCGTGCTTTGGAATAATCAGGTATTAAAGCTAATGAACGACCAATAGAAACCATAGCAAAAGTAATAACAGCAAATATACTATAAGAAATTATTTATTTTATATTAATATAAGAAATCGAAACGATCTATATTACCGAAATATTTTATCAAATGTTATTTCTCCTTGTACGACTAGTTTAGTACCGTATGCAAAATTTGCTGCATGAAGAAAAAATGTTACTGAATTACCAATACCAGCAGTAATTCCTGCCACATGCATAATACATATTTGTTTTCTAATAGAATAAAATAATTTTTTTAAATAAAATAAACAAAATTTTCATACTTAAATTCTTGATTAAATGCATTTTCATAGAAATGAATAAAATAATCTTCACGATGAAGGGCAACAACAGTACGAATATGTTCAAGAGCTTGTGTAACATACTATAAATTAATTATAAATATATATATATATATAATATTATTTCATTTATACCTGTCCACCTTCTTCAACATATGAATTTTTTATTTTTGTTTCACCTGCTTTACTTTGTTTTTGAGCTTGAATTTTTCCGAGAACCATCATTAATGGAATAAAACAGGTAACAATAAATGCTAATTTCCATCCAGCTGCAAATGCAATAGCAAGAGCAGTTATCAAAGCACTTGCTGCTTGTAGAATAATACCAAGACGAACACCAGTCATACCCTATAAATAGATTAACAAAATTTCTGTCTCAAATTGTATTTCTTACTTTGAGAGCAGATGCATCCGTTGC